GTCATGGGGCTTGAACTCTGGGCCTGGGCGCTGTCCCTCAGCTCTTCAGCTCAAGGCTAGCGCTCTACCACTTGAGCCACAGCACCACTTCCGGCTTTCTTCTTTTTGCTTATGTGGTGCTGAGGAATCGAACCCAGGGCCTCATGCATGCAAGGCAAGCGCTCTACCACTAAGCCACCTTCCCAGCCCCAGATGTACCTGTTCTTTAGGTGGTATTGTAGTTGTGGCTTCTTGAGTATCCATCCAAGATGTACTAGAATGGTCCAAAGAATGCCATTTCTTAGTAAGGACTGCTTTTTGTGAAGACAAGATAAAACTAGAGCACTGAATATCTATTGGCCCCAGGAGTATTAGAGGAACCCTCCCACCCTTTCGGTTTGAATACAATGACCAGCTATATTAGCATTTTTCTAGGACACTGAGATCAATTAGCATGGTTTCTATCAAAGAGAAGCAGCTTCTGATTGGCCCAGACTTTATATAGGCCCCATCCCAAAAATGTGCTCCCCAACCTTTAGTTGGAGAGCAAGGGTGACACCCTGTTTGTATACCCAGCCCTGGATCATAATAAGTTGAATGTGGCTCTCAGTTGGGTGCTGGCATCTGGGCAAATGTTTTCCTAAGCACCAGGTCAAAGAAAAAGACTTCTCATGCATCAGATGATTTTAATGTTTCTTACTTTCCCTGGTGTCCCTTCTGCCATACTTGGAGCCTGGCAAGGGCAGACAGCCCCAGAAGAAATGTCCTGGGCAGATATCTCCCCAAAAACTCAATGCAAGATATTCAGCAGCATAGCTTCCTCCCACCCACCCCACCTCTGTTGCTCTATAAGCTACAGCCATAGTGACTTCTGGTAGACAGCAACACTGCTCTTTAGAGCCTCATCCTGAGGTCCTTGTGACCTCAGAGCATCAGAGGTAGGAAGTCCTCCATCCTCCCTTACAATTGTAAAGTGTCAGGTGAGAGGATGGAAATTTTTATGACAAGACATCTACCCAGATAACTGAAGTCCTACTGCCTTGAGATCTTAGGGGTCAGCTCATCCTAGCATGTGTCCAGGGTATTAATTATGCTTCCAAAACAAAACCACTAGCATCTAAACAGCTGAAGTTTGCTTTGATCTAATCAGATGCCCAGC